TTGAACAGTGAGGTGATTCATTTGAATAGTGTAACGATCTTTTGAACAGAGAGGTGATTCATTCGAACAGAAAGTGTGAATATTGATTTCCTGCACTTTGAGTTGAGTTGGTTTATTTATTATTGATTTATTTCTCTATTTTCTTTTATTGATTACATCTGAGAATGCAGAGTATTTTTATCACAATTTATTGCTTTCTTTACTTTATTTTATACAAAGGGTAACGCAGTGTTGTAGTTTTTCAAGATATTTATTTTTTATTTTGTACAAGTGTTTGAATCTTCCTGATTGTCTTGATTATACTTTCTTCAAACTGTATATTGAGTTCATGTTCATCCGTGTTAAAAAAAGAGAAAAATCATTTACTTTTTATTATTACAGTTTATAATTGAACCTATTTATACATACATACTTATATATGTTAAACAGAAATCTACAAACATAACATTTTTCTAATTATATAAACTATATTGAAGAAAGAAACTAACTGTGTTTGATTATTCACTCACCTGCTGTTCTGCTTTTCTTCCTCCAGTAGCCGTTCTTTCTCTTCTAATCAATTGGCCCACATTGAAAAATACACAAGCGCGATAAATCAAATCGTACTTGCTCCACTAAATTAGCTTACTAAAGAAAATATTTTCCCAATATTTCCCAATATTTTCCCAATAAGATTTTTTTAGAGTACACAAATACTGAAGAAAATCTTTCACAGTAAATCACCTAACTGTAATTTTTGTTCATTTTAAAGGATGCAGCACATTCCCATAGGCCAGAATGACTTAATACAGGTGAATTTTTAGCCATATTTTCATTCATATTTGTACAGTACCCTTTGGAATGACAAAATTACAGTTAAAGGTGCAGTAGATGATCTGCATTTAACGTAAGCATATTAGCTTTGAACATTCACATACCTCCCCTGCCATCCAAAGCCACGCCTCCTTTACTCATGAACTGAAAATATGACCATAGACATCCTTATATAACGTCAGATCGTGTTATTCACCATTTACAAAACATATAATCAGTCAATGACCATAAAATACAAGATTGTTCACAGTCAATTGAATAGTTGCTAATGTTGTTTTGAAGTCATTTCAGACTGAATATTCAAGGTAACGTTAGAGTGGGAACGTGTCACAAGCTGTCACTGTTCAAAACTGAACAAATGTGTGAATATAAATCAAACTTCACCTCAGTAAAGGTGGTTAGGTGAAAAAGCGCTATTTATGTATGTTTTCTTATTCAACTAAATAAAAATCATTCAAAAAGGTGTGCTAAAAACAATATGTGCTAAAAATATCCTGTCACCTATTAAACTTTTTATTACTATCCCAGTTATTTATAAAACTGAGCACATACAGTTGACGTCAGAATTATTAGCTCCCCTGTTTATTTTGTCCCCACTTTCTGTTTAACGGAGAGAAGAAACACATTTCTAAACAAAATAACTCATTTCTAATAATTTATTTATTTTATCTTTGCCATGATGACACTAAATAATATTTGACTTGATATTTTTCAAGAAACTTCTATACAGCTTAAAGTGACATTTAAAGGAATAACTAGGTTAATTAGGTCAACTAGACAGGTTAGGGTCATTAGGCAAGTTATTATATAACAATGGACTATCAAAAAAAATATATAGCTTAAAGAGGCTAATAATTTTGACCTGTAAAAAATAAAACTGCTTTTATTCTAAATGAAATAAAACAAATAAGACTTTCTTCAGAAGAAAAAATATTATCAGACATACTGTTAGCATGTTCTGTTAAACATTATTCGGGAAATATTTAAAAAAGAAAAAACAATTTAAAGGGGGGCTAATAATTCATCTGTACACATGCAAGCAGATTACTTAAAGGAACATTCCACGTTTTTGGACATAGATTCATTTTACAATTCTCCTAGAGTTCAACATTTGAACAATTGAACAATTCAACAGTTGAACAATTTTTGAATCCACTAAGCCAATCACGACATCTGGTTGTGGCACTTAGCTTAATATAAATCATTAAATCAGTTTGACAATAAGCACCTCACTTTAGAATCTTACTTTAAAATGACCAAATAGTTAGAATATTTTTACAATTTAAATCATTCTTATTTAAAGTTAATTCTTAGTAAATTATTGTATTTATTTGTTGCACTTAAAATAATGGGTTCTTTTTTATTTTATTATCAATTTATATTATTTTTATGCAATTTCCTGTGTCAGCTGAATCTTTGGGGGAACATTTTGCAGAGTTTACATGTTGTTTTATTTCATAAAGTACAAGTTTATTTCAAACTGCATCTACATTTTGTGATTAAAAAAAATTCAATACATATTTTATCAATGAGGATTTCTTTCAAATCTTGTCTCGTCTTGTTTTTGTGTCTCGATAAAAATGTGTCTCATCTTACCCCCATTTAATGAATGTACTGTAAGTTAAAATGTTTCAAATGTTACTGGTTGAAACCTGAAGTGGCAATGAGGTCTTAAAATCTATGGAAAGAATCTTAAAAATGTCTTAAGAGCTAATGAATTTAACTCCATAATTCCTGTATATACTATAAAAAAATGTTTGTTTGGTTTTTAAGTGGTAGCGGTTGTTTTCGACTGAAACAACAACAACAACAACAAATAAGCACAAGCACATAATTTCTGTTCAATTTGATTAAGATTTTAGAAATATGTGTATCACAGGACTAATTCGGTTTGACAGTCGAGAAGAGGCTCTTTGAGAGGCTTAGAGAGTATTGGTCTACAACAGAAAAAATATTTTGATCAAAACCATTAACAAGCCATACCAGTAAAACTCAAATAGTGTTTAAAAACACTGGTAAATAGTTTTTAAAGAAAAGTGCTGAAAAACACTAATTGATTATGTTTTAATAGTGCATTGAAAACGGATTGAAAACAGAGAAAAAAAAACATGGATTACCACCTTCCATCTTCACAAAGCACCCATCAGTCATTAAAACTAAGCACATGCATGTACAAATGCATAATCTATGATTGCCTCTTTATATCAGTGATTTAAAATCTATTTGGTTTATACATCTATACACCATCTATAACAGTTTTGCTATTTTACTTTATTTTTTAACTAAAACTGAATCTGTCAAAAATAATTTAAAAAATATCTAGTCAAATATTATTTACTGTCATCATGGCAAAGGTAAAAGAAATCAGTTATTAGAAATGAGTTATTAAAACTATTATGTTTAGAAATGTGTTAAAAAAATCTCCTCTCTGTTAAACAGAATTTATGGGGAAAAAAATGAACAGTGGGGCTAATAATTCCAGGGTCTAATAAATCTGACTTCCACTGTACAGTGTGTATATATAGAGTTGAAGTCAGAATTATTGTGCCCCCTGAATTATTAGCCCCCCTGTTTATTTTTTCACCTTATTTCTGTTTATCAGAGAGATTTTTTTTCAACATATTTCTAAACATAATAGTTTTACTAACACATTTCTAATAACTGATTTCTTTTATCTTTGCCATGATGAAAGTAAAAAATATTTTCCTAGATATTTTTCAAGACACTTCTATACAGCTTAAAGTGAAATTTAAAGGCTTAACTAGATTTATTAGGTTAACTAGGCAGGCTAGGGTAATTAGGCAAGTTATTGTATAACGATGGTTTGTTCTGTTGATTTTTTTTTTAAAAAGCCTAAAAGGGCTAATAATTTTGTCCTTTAAACGGTGTTTAAAAAAGTAAAATCTGCTTTTATTCTAGTCGAAATTAAACAAATAAGACTTTCTCCAGAAGAAAATATATTATCGGACATACTGTGAAAATGTCTTTGCTCTGAAAACATCATTTGGGAAATATTAAAAAAAAAAGAGAAAAAAATTATTATATACACTGTTTTAGACAGAACTGAATCAACAGTGAACAAAATGGAGAATGAGAGCATAGTGTGGTCAGCCACGGCACCATCAAATAAATTGGCCAAACAGTAAATCTTATTGGCTCATACCATTATTTAAAAACTAATTGGCTGATATATCAACCTTGGTGATAATGCAAGATTGGCAGCAAGTTTACAACCTTCTCTGCTTCTCTTAATTCCTCAGTCTCAGGTTTCCAAACACTGGAAAATAAATGTTCTATGGTGGTGCTGATAACAGACATCTTGAATGTTATTCAAATGCATCAGCTATTGCCTTTTTAGCACATAAATGATGGTCAGATTTTTAATTTTTTGCTAATTTTTTAACTGATATTATTTTTGTTAAATGAAGGTGCAGGAGTAGTAGCAATTTTGTACTTTAAAATGTATGACAATGAATTTAATTAGATTTTGTTGTGATTTTGCTCACATTTTAACATTATAAGGCTGAATGGCATGAAATGTCATCAGTATCGAGACATTTCCCAGTAATTCTCTGTTGCAATCGGGATATCACAATACTTAACCCCCGAAAAAGTCAAAGCACAGCAAACACTACCAGATTACTATACTATAAATACAGCACTACAATAAACAAAAGAGAGAGATCGACTTCACTTGCCTGTTTTATGATGATTTGATCAGCAGTAGCTTGACATTATGCTGAGGGTTTTCCTCGTCTAATTGCTTATTATTCTGTCCTTGTCACTATAAATATATATATATATATATATATATATATATATATATATATATATATATATATATAAGGTTGTTAAAACTATTAGGGAGACTTGTCATGTTACTGATTCTATTAGGTGCACCTGTAGCTGTTATTTTTATTATGGGATTGTTATTCTTATGATTATTATTAATCATTAATTTTCTGCAGAATGTAATATGTATGAATGTACTATGAATGTACTATAATACAGGCTCAGGAAAACATGGGTGTATCTTTTACAATTAAAAAAACAACATAAATGTATGTAATGTATGCAAAGAATTGGTTTCTTATTATGAGATTATATGCACAAAAACTCACAATGAAAAAGTTAAATATATTTCCGCTAAATAATTAAGACAGGAAAACAAACAAGATTTAGGCTGGTTACTTGAAAATTTGTTATTATTTTTTTTCAAACCTGCAATTTCTTTAAAGTTGTTCCGCTTGTAACGTCAGTCACATGATAATGTAAACATAGTGGATGACATGCAATCTTATTTATACTTAATGAAATCTGGCTGTTGGATACTTACTCTTTTAGTCCTCAGTAAGTAAGTACTTTTTGAAAATGATTACTTACTCTTTGAGTATCTTCAAATGGAGCCACTAATTCATATGATCACAGTGTATGTTTCCACTGTGTTATGGTCCATCCCAGATGCCTCTGAGCCCAGAGAAGTCAAAGGCGCTTCTGGACACTGTTAACATATGGCTTCCTTTTGGCACAGTACCATTTTTACTGACATTTGTGGATGCAACTATGTATTGTAGTACTTGAGGTTTGCCAAAGTAGACCTGAGCCCATGTAATGTATTATATACTGTAACCATGTAGCGTTTTTTTATACTGTCCCAACTTTTTCTGATTTGGCTTTGTAATTGGTGGAAAGGTGTGTGAATCCTAGAATATTTAACATAACATAATAAAGAAACGCAAAAATTAGGTCAACAAGGGCTCAATTTTATTCTCTGCCTTTTTATTTTATTCTCTATATCTGTTGGCCTAACATATCAAGATCTCAGAGCAGAGACTTTATAAAGACTTAATAAAAATATGTCAACATTCAATCAAAGAACTAACAAAGGGCAGGTTAAAAGAGAAAATGTGTGAAGTGAGCTTGAAGTGTTCTACTTTTGAGCAGGCATGAGGTCATCTACAGACTGGCCCTTCTCCAGTCGTTTTTCCATCTCTATGAGCAGTTTGACTCCATCCACCACCATCTGCACCAGCTCCACCTCAGAGAAGCCCAGACGGTCGGCGTTAGAGATGTCAAAAACACCACCAACTGCAGCAGTGTCCACACCACCTGATGAAAAAAGACAACACTTTCTTATTGCTAAAAGCTTTTAAGCTGGATTTTTGTTCACAACAGTAGTAAAGTATCTACTACAGTTAAAGTTAGTTGAGTTCCTACCTGTTCCACGTTTTTGCAGCCTCAGTCTCTTGAGGATCTCCTCAAACTGCCGGTATTTGCTGAGATTGGGCAGTTTGACATGTACTCCTGCACGCAGCCCTGTTCCGAGGTTGGATGGACAGGTGAGGACGTAACCAAGATGCTCATTCCACATAAATGCATGACCCTTGTTTCTGAACAATTCCTCAATCTGAAATAAGCAATGTGTATATTAAAGTCTCAGTTTAAGGAACCTTTAATATATACTTTAAACAAACACACTTTATGCACTGGGATTTGTGATCTTATCAAACAATTACGTCAAAACAACATCTATTTTGAGTTAGAAATTTCAAAGCTAAATGCCAAAACACAGCAATTACACAAGCTGATTTCACTAGACAGATGTATGAGAAACACAGCACACTGAGGACATAGTCTGGTTTCCAAAAGGTAATGCAAAAAAAAGCATATACTAAAATAAAAATAAACAGATTGTGGACTAAAATATAGTCCTTGGTGTAAATGACTCATTCACATCGCACAGACAAACAGCAACGTACACTTCATTGGGTTTTGTCAGATCAGTGTTTTAACCTTGTCAATGTCTATTGATGGCTGGATTTTTCACAAAATTGTGCTTAATATTCTGAAAAACAAGACACTCTTTACATCCTTATTGTAGTCACTTTCAGATTGGACTGGGGTAATCAGTCTGATTGGTCTGTGGCTACACTGCCCTCTACAAAGCATGTTGTGACACATTCCTCTCACAAACCTCAATCAATTCAGGGCTTTATTTCAAAGATCTAGGCGCAAAGTCTAAAGTGCAAGGCACAAAAGCATTAAGGGTATGTCCGATCCACTTTTGCTATTTTAAGGATACAGTTTGTGCCCAAACAAATGGTCTAACAGGGTTGTGCTTATTCTCTTAATGAGTTATGGCTGTGTTTTAAACATAACATGCATTAAACCATGAGGTCAAAGGAACAGCCTGAAGATTTCAGGGACAGAATTGTGGCAAGGCACAGATACTGTACGGCCAATGGCCAACTCTACCGCACTTAAGGATTCTATGAGCACAATGGCCTCCATAATCCTTAAATGGAAGACATTTGGTATGACCAGAACCCATCCTATCAGGGGGTTGAAAAGCCTTGGTGAGAGAGGTAAAGAAGAACACAAAGATCACTGTGGCTGAGCTCCAGAGAAGCAGTTAATGCATTTATATGTACTTTTATATTCTGGGTAAGGCATGGGACTAAATAATTAACTTAATTATGATAGGTAACTCAAACTGTCAAGAAATTTAAATTACGTATTTCTGCACATGCTCTTTACGTAGACAGATCATTTGCGTGTTCATGAGAATGAAATAAAAGCTGTGATGGCAGAAAAAAATGGACAGAGAGTGCTATGGACGACGGTTCGCGGTGTCCAATCCTCACACGGAACTGGGACCCTGGCTGCACCATGGACACCTTGTCCTTTACACCCTGCACTTCATACACCCACTTCTTTGCGAAAAAATAGCCCTTCGGAGGTTTCAAGGATTTTTCTGTAATCTCTCACCTGCGACAATTGCTATAGTCAGAATATTAAAAGAAAGATTCAAACACCTTCGTTATACATTTGTACATGTTTGTGTAATTCTATTTAATGAGCTGAATAATACACAAGCCATCAAATAGACTATTATAGATGTTATTTTTAGGCATTCATGAAATAAAAATAAAAAAACATAAATGCATTTTTAAAATTAATTGGACAGAGCAGTTTTTACCATTAGCAGGAATTGAAAACCTGTAGTTGATCCCCAGCAAAGCCATTATACAGAACCCTAACCCTTAGTAGAGTGAGGTACATGCTTTCCTCCAGGCTTTGATCACATCTGCCACAGCAGACTGAATACACAGCTCTTTCCTTATTTTAAGACCTAATCAAGCTAAAATGAAGACAATTAATACAAGGAGAGGCAGATTGATGAAAGTCTGTCACAGACTTGCTGCAATTAACAGAAAATTAGTCGTAGCTATGGAGAACTTTAATCCATTTAAGTAACCCCAAGTAAAGCTTGCTGCACATGAAGTGCAGTTATTTGGTAACATGACAACCTTGTCATACACCCCCCCCCCCCCCCCCTCCTTTTTCTTAATTTGAGTTACATTTCAAACAGATAAACTGTGTGATTATTCTTCAGTTAACTCATACTATTTAAACCATGCTATTAAAATGTATCAATTGATAGCCCTGTGAATCAGTGTAGGTGCTATTAAAATGACTGTTCTTGTTGTGAACAAGTGTATAGGATCACTTGTATGACTAGTAGCAGTGATGTAATACCTTAGTAAGACCTATGCAGAAACGGGTGAAGACTTCCTTCATTTTGCCTCCTTTTTGCATGGAGATGACACGTAGATGGTCTTCCTCATTCACCCACACAAGGAATGTCTTGCTGTCATTGTGCCTGGAAATGAGGAGAGTCAGAAAATCAGGGATACAGGAATGTCTTAAAAGCCCAGCACAAAAATGCAATCCTTAATTAAAATAAATGCTTTCCTTGTGAGAAATGATGCTAAAGTATGGTTAAAAAAAAACTATGCAAATTAGGGTTCCCACTCTTTTTATGAAATTATTTTCCAGGACATCTGCAGGAGTCTTTTTAAATAATTAAGTTAGAAGTTGGTCAGAATCATTCATACTCATTAGTAATAGGCTAATTAGTAATTAGGGGCCATTCACAAAGAGTGTATTTTTCCTCTCCAATGAGCAATTTTTAAAATAGTTTTTCCAATGTAAACACATGCTTGTTGATGGCCATGTTTGATCGTCTTGTGTCTTTAAAAGTGATGCAAACTTCGGTTCGGATGCATTGATTAAAATGACAGATGACTTTGCGCTTTACTAACACCCCGTTTACACTATAACGCCTTGATGGCCAATTCCAAGTTGTTGCCTATATCTGATTTTTTTCTGTCCTTTTACACGTTCTGTTAATTGGGACAAATTTCCAATTCATGTGTTTACACTTGCTATACAATTTTCGTCGTTGCGCATGTGTAAAGGCAGGTTCTAGCATCTGCGCCATACTAGCCACCATGGAAGAAATTGTCTTGCTTTTAGCTCTGCGAAATATGAAAGTTTGCCCAACTTTAAAATGATTTTGAGGTGGAAGACGAGGGAAAGGGCCGTCATCGCAGCTTGCACCTATGGCTTATATATGGTGTCCTCCACTGGTTCATCTTTCAACAGGGCAAGAAGGCAGGTAACTTCTGCCGTCGACCACTGATGACTTTCCTCCTCTCTGTTTTCTGTTGGAGTTGTGTACCGCATCGGCTACTCCACACACCCTCTACCTTCTACATTTTTTAACAGCGAAGAAGTACCACATTGTCACAAGTTTAGTGACGTACAAAAAAGAATGCCTCAATAAATCCGATCTGCCTGTTTACATGAATGTCGCATTGTCACATATTTGATTTCTTTCTATCTGAGTTATTTCCACATATGAAGGAGGCCTAAAACTAATCTCGGGGCATTACTCTGCATTTTTTTTTTGTGTGTTTACACGGTCTTAGAACAGATCCGATCTGTGTCACATACAGTATGAGCAAAAAATTGGAATTGGGTCACATTTAACTGGCAGTGCAAATGGGGCCTAGGTCTGTGTGGGTTATGACACGTTCCCTTATTAAATTAATATCTCAACATTCTTTATGAAAGACGTAAAAACCTACAATGTGAAAAAACGATCTTAGTTTGGTTTTAACACAAACAGAGGTGAGGGGCTTAGTATTTATAAGTGAAATTACCCGCCCCAATACATCGTGCACCAGACCTAGTTGAAGCCCAGACAGACAGGCAGTCAGGCAGCGTAGTACAGAGAGTTGATTAAAGCGCACCAAACTTTAGACATATTTTATATTTTAGACACAGATTTGATGCTTGTACTTGCACCAGCTCCATGCATTGGGTTAAATTAGGCTTTCCAGTGTCCGTAGTCAGTCCATTACTTCTACTGTATCTGTTCAGCCCTAGCTCTAAAAGCTACAGTAAAACTTGCCCTTTTCTTCAAAATGATTACATTAATTGTTGTTAGATTTTGCAATAATTGCCTTAACCATTCTTGAGTTAAATTCAAAGCATAAATTCAAAGCATAAATTGAGCATTTTTATTAAAGTAGAAATCAATTTACAAAATAATATAAACTTGACTGACTGCTTTAATTTAGTACTGAATCAGTAACTATCAATACATTCATTCATTTATTTTCTTCTCGGCTTAGTCCTTTTATTAATCTTAAGCAGTGGATGCCCTTCCAGCTGCAATACATCACTGGGGAACACCCATAAACTCTTATTCACACACATACACTACGGACAATTTTTGTCTACCCAATTCACCTATACCGCATGTCTTTGGACTTCGAGGCTCGAACCAGCCACCTTCTTGCTGTAAGGCGCAAGCAGCACGAGGACTTTTATGATGATTTATGAGGATCAAAAGTGGTGGATCTGTTCTGCAAAATATTTGACTGTGTGTCTCTGCATCTCAAACGACTAAAAATAATGCAAAACAGTATAACTAAAGCAACGTTGTTCACTTTGCCCGTTTCCCGGATCGTTTGAGAAGTGTGAGTGCTCTGAATTGGGCTCAGGCACGATTAACTTGGCCAGCCTTAACCTGGTTGGAAGAGGTATGCCTGAGCACAGTTCACTTGGGCTTTGGGCACGGTACACTTGTGTGTAAGTGCAAAACGCACCTAAGCCCGAAACTGAAAGCGAGACGCAACTTATAAGGGACTGTTTCATATGGATTTATTAATCATTCCTACAGTACAGTGTATGCAAACTGTCGTAAATTATTAAAGACGCAAACCCCTCACTGCATGACAGCTGCGCACGTTCAGCAAACCTCCTAATTCCTGCAGCACGAGGACTTTATGGTTGTTTTTGAGTGTCAAAAGTGGCTGATCTGTTAAGCGAAATATTTGACTGTGTCACTGCATATCAAACGTTTTAAACGTTATAACTAAAGAAATCTCCACTATGCTGAGCGAAAGCGCTTACTGAACAGCGCGGGATCGATGACATAACCATGCCCAGGCCTGAATGTAATGTAAGTGCAGGCCATTAGGGGAGAAGGGAGGAGAGACAAGTGTGCTTTGGCATGGTTCAAGGCAACTGTGCCTAGTGTGAGCATGCCCTTAAAGTCTAAATGTAATTTGAAGTGGAGCTAAAACTTTATTATGGAGAGGCAGTAGTGGTTAGGTTGTGCTATGAAATGAAATCAAGAAATACTTATTTCATGAAATAAAATAAATAACAGAAAAACAACATATACCAAGACAGAAGATTTGTAGGATCTGGAACGAACAGACAGGAAGTAGGTTGCTTTTTCTATGACAATAACTATTTTAAAGTGGAAAAGGGAAAGCATTAAGCTGAACCAGAACACTTACCAGATGCCTCTCGCATCAGGCCAATCACGAGCCATCCCTGAGGCCAATAGCAGAGGAGACACAGGCTTGTCGAACAGGAAGTGATCATCGATAAGCTGCTGCTGCTCTGCCTCTGTCATGTTCTTCAGGGCATAGTATTTTCCTTTGAGATCCCCAGCCAGGGCACCCAAAGCTACAGCAAACAGACATAAAATATCTATATTATATATATATATATATATATATATATATATATATATATATATATATATATATATATATATATATATATATATATATAAATTTATTATCACGTCGATATTTTTCTCAGAAAACATATTTCTAAAGGGGCTGTTGACTTAATGTTGGTAACAACCAAAAAAATCCATATATGGAAAGAACTACAAACAAAACTAATTAGGTTTACAAATTAGGTTATGTGTAACAAAATATAATGACACAGAAAAATTTTTAAGAAAAGCGTAAGAAAAGGCAGTGAAAGCCCAGACAGCATCTAAAATCTCTCAGTGGTCAGAAAGCAACCCTTTATTGTAAATGAATATTGGCTGCTTCAGTCAAACATCTACATTACAAGGATGATGAAGATAGGGCTGCACAATTTGGGAGAAAAAAAAAGCGATTTATCTGATTTTAAAATGTGACTTACTACCATTTCATAAAAGAGCTACAGGTTTGAGTAGGTAAATTTAACAGCACCTAAGAAAGACCAAGCATTGACACAAAGTACATTACACTCATTTTTATTTTAAAACTTTTTATCTATTGTAGCCATTTATTTTTATAAAAAATTGTTGTCAGTTGTCATGACTAGTAAGAAAATAGCTACAGTATTTTAAAATTCTTAAAATTTTAAAAATGCCAAAACCATCAGAATTTGAAATGTGTTTATTTGAATTATTGACAATTGTAATTTAATAAATCAGAATTTTTATATGCCATTAATAATTGTTTTGAATTTGAACTTCTTACTTTAAATTAGAATTTTATAACTTGAATATTGAACATCTGAAATGTAAGACAACTGAATTTTTCAAGGCTCAATTTTTTATAGATGTATTTTCAAATTTTTGTGTTCTGAATTTACAAACTGCAGGTATTGGGTTTGTAAAAATACAGTTTTACATTTTTAGGGTGAAGAAATTCAGAACATCAAATTAAATTTTCTAAAATTCAAAACCAGAAAGTCAGATGGTGAAATTCAAAACCAGCAGAAAGTAGGTTAGGGGTCATCAACAGGGTACAGTAGACGATCACCGAAATGTCAATCTAAGCAAATTGGCCAATCACAGAGCTGCATGAGTTTACTGGTGTATGTGAGGCTTACACAATTCTTCTGCAAACTGACTATCGGCGGTCAGCTATTTTCAGTAGTTTGTGTAATAAATATGGATGCTTCAGTAAACCAAATTAATATATTTAATTCAATAACATCTCATTGGGTAATTAATTTTATTTACATTTTTTGAGGGATAAAGAGCTGATTCTTAACTGTACTGTAACCTCTGATGGGTTATTTCAGCAGACACAGGGCTCTTACACTTTTAACAAAATGTCACATCAAGGCACTTTTCAAGCTCTTTCTAGGTGCATTTTCAAACTGTCCCAGCATTTTACAACTGTGGTAAACGACATATTTGCATGCACACACTTCTTCAACAAATTATATAAGATGCTAGTTGTTACAATATTCTATATTACATCATAGCATGTATTTTATAGCAAGTATTTTATAGTAAATTCATTTTGTAGTGTATGCATTTAGTATATGCATGTAGTATAGTATTTTAAGGATAGCCTATTATCAACACTGATATGCTGCCTCTTTTAAAGATCATCTATTCACATCTAAGATGTCATATTTAACCTTACATTTATATTTATTTGAATGATCTGATTTTTCCATATATTTAAAAATATTAAATTATTTTTGGCTAAAATACATTGAAATCAAAATGTCCAATGGGTGGCACCAAATCTCTCTCTTTGTCACTGAATTGCACATTCAGATTTTTTTGAACTGGCTTATTTATGAATGAATAAAGTGCCTCACTATGAATGACTCTCTCAGAGATTTCTTCTTAACCTCGTTTGTTAAGCGCTTAAAACTTTGTTTCAAATGTTAACAACATAAGAGGTGTTTAAAACGTCTATATTGTTGTTAATAGTGTACAGGGAAAGCCACTTGATCAGTTTTCAACATGTTTGTTTTTTTGACCCAAAAGCAGCCTTCCCAATACTCTTAGCTTAAATACATATGAATTTAATTTTACATTAGGATATATGTAGATAAAAAAAAACATTTCTTTTACCTATTTCCTGTTTCCTTCATTTATTTTAAAGTTGAGTAATGCACCCTTCATTTTGAAATATCTCACCTGTAATATGTGATCATATTTATTGTACAATACTTGTAAGTCAACTATGAGGGCAAAAAATAAAATATATAAAAAATAGTTAATTAATCGTAGTCGAGTTAAAGGGCCCTAAAGGGCCACAATGTGGCGCAAGGCGCAACACAATTGTTATTTGCTAGTTTCAGCTAGGCGCAAAAGTCGTTTTGACATTTTGCACCAAGCTGTTTAAATAGTAATGCATTTGCGCTCATATGTGCATATGTGGCATTCTGGTCTAAAAAAGCAGGCGTGTTTTGGAGCGTTGCTGGCGCGTTGCTATTTTGAGAAACTATAATAGTCTGTTCTTTAGACCAGAACAAAGCCGGTCTATTTTCCGGCGCAAAGTGCCCCTTGCTTACACACTACTTCATAAACACAAGATGTAGAACAATAAGCAAATATCTTTACATATGAAAAAGAATTAAAATATTAAGGATATATATAGGATATAAATATAAATGATTAAAATATTACAAAACATTATTTTGTAGCCTACATTAATATGAAAAACCACTGCTTTCATGCCTTCTTCATCTCGGGGGCTTTTTCAGTTCATTCAGTTTTCTTTTTTATAATGTTATCATTATTAGCAGTTTTATTTATTATATCCATTATAATTTATTTAGATTTGTTTTAATGAAAACAAGCTAAGAATTGCCCACCTGTCAAATGCACAGCATTTGTATTAGGATATAACTAATTTTTTTGACCACACTTCGTTATTATTGTTCATTTATTCGTTTGCTGGAAATTAGAACTGAATTTAGAAATAGTTTTGCAACAAATCTTTACGCTTAAAGGGCACATAGTTTAACCCTTTTTTATGATTTAATATTAATTTTATGGTTCTTTTGAATGTGCCAGTTTAGGTTCAGTTCAACACACAGTTCAGATGTTTTTATTATTATTTTATTATTATGTGTTAAAAAGTCACACGCTGAAAATGGCGGACGTGAAACAAGAAACTGAGAATATGATCGTGACGCGAGGCTGTCAATCAATATTGGTGGGCGGGGGGACCGCTCTCCTACGTAAAGTTGCGGTCGGTCTGAAAACAGCTCCAATTGGTCCACCGTTTTTATGTTGTTAAATTGAAAAAAAAAAGGACTGTGTGTGTTTATATCACCCCAATATGACTGTCTATACACTATATATGTCCAAAAAGCTTGAAAAGTAGATTTTTCACCATAGGTGCCCTTTAACAAACAAAATTAATTATTTATAGGCTAATGGATGTCTGTGCGTACATGGTCTCCCCATCCACGAGAACGAAAGTAAAACTAGATTATGAGATGACTTATCTCTCATTCTCGCACTGTAGATGCTCTGTTTAACTGTTTTCTTGCTGGTGAAATGCTCAGTTTTTCCACTTCCACTTATTTTATGTCATGTAAATAGCAAATGTGCCATGGCACGACACAACTGGCACTTAAAGGGAATGAGAGATGAGACTCTGATTGGTTTATTCTCAAAGCACACCTATAACTCATTAAGAAAATAAACTCAACCCTTTTAGACCATGCGCCATGGCGCAAAGTGGATTTTTCCGATTCTGACACGCCCTGAAAGCGATTGCGCACTGCGTTTTTTGCTTTGCGCATGGACCGTCAAAATAGGGGTTAGTATAAATTGGCATGTACTTGCTAAGTTTCTTATAGTTAGTTAAAGTATCAACAGATACAACAGTATCAGCAATATCAACAGATATTAAGCAGACAGTCTTCTAATACTCAAATGGTCCATCAAAATAAAGTGTTACTTGAAGCTTGTTGCTACAACTTTTATATCTGTATTGGACTATAGTTGTGTTATTTATATGCATGCTTCTTTTTAGAGTTTGCACTGTTTACCATGGTGCACTGAGGTTTATAACAAATCTTAAATCTCTCACTGATCATTGTGTTTTGTACAATCAGATGTTACTCGCAGGCTCAAGCAATTACATCTTTGTTAATAAATCTATTTTGGGTTTACTCCCCTCATATCTCAAACTTTACATTTGTAAAGTTGTAAAGCTATAGCCTTTGGTATCAGAATTTTTTTTATTGTCTATACCAGTGTTGTGTACTGAAATGGGAAAAAAGTATTTTAAATATTCATCACATTTTGCATGGAATAAACTCCAAACAAAGTTGCTATTTAAAAAGTTGGTTTCACTAAATGCTTTTAAAAAGATTTTAAATGATTTGGCGTTTAAAACATTGGCCTGTAGATGTTCTAAATAGTTTTTACTGTCATTGTATGTGTGTTTTGATGGATGAATGATGTTACCTGTTATTTGTTTTTGTTTGTTTGTTTGTTGTTTGTTTGTTTGTTTGTTTGTTTGTTAAGCCCATGTGAACTGTATACTGTCTAATCTTGGCCAGGACACTCTTGTAAAAGAGATTTTTACTTTCAATGTGCTTTTCCTGGTAAAATAAAGGTTACAATATCATGGGGAATCACATGACGTAAACACATGATGACAACATCTAAAGCAAAACACAGACACACCTGACATGTAAAACAATAATATATCAACTAAAAAACAAAAATTTTATTACTTTACAAACTATATTGTAAATAAATCACATGAACGTTTTCATATTAGTCAAAAATATTACCGAAATGACTTTAAAAACTGAATAATGTAAATTTGCACAAATTTAATAATTCTTTCATTCATTTTCTTTTCGGCTTAGTCCCTTTATTAATCTGGAATCGCACAGTGGAATGAACCACCAACTTTGCCAGCATATGTTTTATGCAACGGATGCCCTTCCAGCTGCAACTCATCACTGGGAAACATCCATCCACAAACTTATTCACACACATACACTATGATCAATTTTAGCATACCCAATTCACCTATACGTCTTTGGACTTGTGGGGGAAACCTGAGCACCCAGAGGAATCCCATGCAAACACAGGGAGAACATGCAAACTCCACACAGAATTGCTAACTGACCCAGCCTAGGACCAGCAACCTTCTTGCTATGAGGCGACAGCACTACCCACTGCGCCACCACATCGCCATTTGCACACATTTACATAAGTTAAAAAACAGACTCAATGAGGGGCTAAAATCTGCTGAAATCTGTGTGCGCAGATTCAGTGTTGGCCTAGTCATAACAGACTTATGTTGTGCTACTTGTGTTGAGTTTAGAAACTCAAAGTGACTACAGATTGTTGGCAATTGAAAAAAAAACTGTAACCTTATAGTTAATATTGTAAAACCTGGGATGTCATTCTAGGTGTGTGTCATTTCAGAGGTTGCATCCATCAAAGGATGCAGACTTCAAAGGTGCGTTCTTCGAAGTCCACACAAGCCAAACCAAGCGTTTAAAAATGAGACAGTCTAGCCTACAGAGGACAGATCTCATTGCCTAGCTACCATAACAGCTGCCATTAAATAAGTTTGTAATGACTTTTTTTTCAAAGTGATTTTAAAACTTATTTCAAGCGATCTGAAGGCAAAGCAAGGTTTACAAACACTGGAAATAAAATTCTCTTGATCTATACATGTACACATAAAAATGTAAACTGTCTATTAAAATGACTTTTTAATAAGACATGTCGTACTCTTTTTGTTTTTTAACATGTGTTTAGCTTTTCAAGTACAATAAAAACCTAATTCATACATTTAATCTGAAGTTTTCTTTTAAAAACATCATGCCATTAACAGCGCGCAATGTATCTTGGGATGTTCGAGGCCCCCAAAGGATCCACCGGTTGTACCCACCATATCCTGGGAAACGAAGGATGCATTTTGAGGCTGCATTTGAAGCAGACTTTAAATTGTTTTAAAATGAGACAGCCTTTTTGCAATGACGCAGTGCCCTTCGAATGCATCCTTCGGAGGATGCAGCCTCTGAATTGAGACACAGATGATGTGTAATATGCTTGCTGATGTACCTTGTACTGAGAGCTTCTCTACAGCTCTCCTCTCTCCACGGCTGCAGTGCGGTGGCAAACAGAATCCACGGATACTCCTGCCAGTTCTGACGCGAGAGCTCAGCACGTAATTGGGATCCAGGTCATCACCCCCCTGCAAGTACAGAATGTTTTAGTCTTTTACAGCGTTGCTGTAATCAATTTTTACAATCAATATGAAGACCTAAAAAAAAATTAAATGAATACTCTACATTAGGATGTGCAATAGCAACACAAATTCATACATCAATCTTTTTGACATTCTGGTAATTAATCTATAATTTTTTTATACAAAAATGAATCATCTAAATAAACAGGATAACAAGTTCAACTTAAATTAAATCAATGGACTGTGCCTGAATGCAAAGGACATGATACCCACATAATGGGTATTTTATAATACATAATTTATTTAAAATATAGTGCCTCTGCTATCAGTTTAGATGACAGTATAATGATTACTGTTAAAATAATGAATATGAAGTAAAACTGCCAGTAGGTGGTGACAAGTATTAAGGAGTGTCACTGAGCCTGCAAAGCTCAGCATTGTGATCTCAGATTGTGAATATTTAGCGTTTTTGCTGGCAAAATACAACAAAACGGTACAAATTCTGAATATTTTAGTTAATAATTGTCAGTTAGTAATAGAACTGTTGTATAGGCTAAAATAAGTAAGTATAAGTTACAAGTAAATATGCAATATATGGGAAAACTGCAATTCAAAACACATTTTAAAAATCCTAAATAGATTTTAATCAACAGCGTTATAAATATTTAAATGTAAGAAAACACGACATACAGCATACAACAAAATGCTTTCTAGGGATATATTCTGTAGAGGTGGGCAAAGCAAAGCTTCATGAAACACTGAAACAGTTGAAGCAAATGTGTCGAAGCTTCGAAACGTTTCGAAACCCCACTCTACAATAAGGGTGAAACCTAGTGGTCAATTTTATGTATAGCTCTGAAAAAGCTTCAGCAAAGAAACAGCTAAGCAAATTGAGTTATTAAACCCCACGTTGCAGAGTTGAGGTTTCAAGTGATTTAGTGAAGCAGTAAGAGTTCCTGACTAGCATGCAGAGATAATGGGTTGGAATGATGCAGCTATAGATGTTAGTTTTTAAATGTTCTGTCCTTTTAATGTGTTTTGCTTTAAAATTCATCTGACATCCAAATGAACACTTTGTGAATGTCTTGTTTTGGTCAAAAAAGTAACTTTATTAAAATACATCAAGCCATAATTTCATAGTATTTGTACAAGTCAGGATTCGAACCCAGGCCATTTGCAGCACAGTTACTCTGAGTGCATGCACAGTCCACTAGGCTACATGAGATGTACAAGGATGGACTGGCCATAGGGAGCACCGGGAGATTTCCAGGTGGCCTGATGGTAGGCCTATCACAATAATCAATATATCAACTTATCGCACAACACATGGACATGACCTCAATATTTTTTGGTAATGCAATGCAGGTCATTTCCAAGACTGGAAAACAACCTTCTAGATGTCAAGGTTTTCCAAGACCTGTAGGAACCCTGTGTAATCCTGTAAAATACCAAACACTATGGAGTAAATTTTAAGACTTCTCGCGAGCAAAAATAATGCTTTTTATGACCTTAAATTTAAAAAAATATAATGCTTTAAGACTTAAGGACTCTTGTGAACCCTGTTTTAAATAAGCAATTGAAATTAACCCAATTTTAATGATCTACTATTAAATACCCATAAAATGTTTATATGAAGACGTCTGCACAGGGGCAGTCACATGGGGCCAATTTTCAGACAAAAATATGTCAGAAGTACATGTACAGGTAATCCACTCCTTCAGCTGCTTACCTTGAGGTTACTGGGGTTTAGATCAGTCTTGTGTTTGTCTGTTGGCTTGTACCCTCCATGTCGGTCCTGAATAACAGGGTCCAGTAGCTCCTTGAACACCTCGTAGGTCTCCTCATCCCCAGCCACACAACCCACAGTCATAATGAAGGGGTGGCCTGAGATGGGAAACAAGCCAGGGCACACAAATTAGGAGCCAAGCAAATAAATTCATACCTAACATTAAATTTTTACATTCTGAACTATCTGAAACCTGATCCTGACAGGATAAGGGCATGTTCTTTTACCAGGATTATCTACGCCAGTCTGAATGACATTATCTATGGTGAAGCCACTGGGTGTGCAGCGCTGACGGAGGCGCTTGTACATATCCAGAGTGAGAACCTTGGCCATGTGGTTGTGGTGATGCTCAAGGTCTGGGTACTCATCCTCGGCTGACTGCTGCTTGTTCAACCTGGCTAGCTTAGCATTGCTGAATAAATACAACAACATATGGGGTGTAAAAATACCACACTCTGCTGACAAAGTAGTCACTTGTCATGGCCTGATTCAGTTAACACTACTTGTCTAACCAAATACTTGGTTTTACCAAAAAAGCATAGAATGTTCATTGGTCATGATCTGTTTTTAGGTCAAGTTGTTGACATGGTCTTGTACAGAAGACAGCTAAAATTGCTATTTCCATACTACAGCCCAATAACAAAGATTCAGCAAGGTCACTGTCTAATGTTCAGTGGGGAAAAAACAAACAAATGTTTCTTTCTGACTGTAGAGTCAATGTTGTTGCAACGCAACTATGTTATTAAAGTGCACGAGAGGTGGGCTTTGGAGAGTTTTGGGTTGTGTCGATGTCTTTACCTGGGTTATCTACCCCGGTCTGGATTACATCATCCAGTGTAAACCCGCTGGGTGTCTGTTTGGAGCGTAACTTTTCATACAGTCCTGGAGTGAGAATCTTGGCCATATAGTTGTTGTGCTTGCTGAGGTCGGGGTATTCCTGCTCAGAGGAGTACTTCATCTTCAGCTGGTTGTGACTGTTCCCAAAAGGCATGGCTGTTGTTTCCTGAGTGTGTTAGGAATGTGATCGGGGTCATACTGAATGTGAAGCAAAGCCAACAGGTTTAGTACTAGCTTCCATTCTAATTAAATCATTTAATATATAGAAATAGAAATGACTTGATTCTTCCTATATATGGTTATATAATATAACACTTTTTTTTAGAATCATTTAAAATTTTTGATTCATTACATCCCAGGTGAAAAAAATATATATAATTAAATGCAATTAAAATACACTTAAATTTTTTAAAAATTTATTTGTAATGTTTTGTTGTAGAAGTACATTTTCCCAAAATACTTTTAATACAGTATTTAGCACATTTTTTTTTACAATTTGTATATTCTTTTAATATATTACAATTATACTTTAAATTATTCATAAATATATTTAAATGTTTAAAAGTAGGGTTCAAGTGTATTTCTAGTTGTAACTAAATATATATTTTTTTAAAATACAGATATAGTATGTTAAAAGCACATTTTAGTTCAATTTCAGGGTGTCTCAAAATACCACATTTGAGTACACTTAGATGGTAATAAGTTTATCTTAACATATACTTAATACTATCTTTTAGTACATTATACAAAATTAGTGTGTGAAAATAAAGCACTTTTAGTACTTTATTTAAAAAATATACTTAGTGTACGTAAATTGTACTTTACCACACTTTTTTCACATTTTGTATATTCTTTTAATATATTACTATTATACTTTAAGCCATTCTTAAATATATTTATAAATGTTTAAAATTAGGGTTCAAGCATATTTCTAGTTGTAACTATTTTTTAAAATACAGATATAGTATGTTAAAAGCACATTTTAGTTCAATTTCAGGGTGTCTCAATAGCACAGTTGAGTACACTTAGATGGTATTAAGTTTATCTTAACATATACTTAATACTATCTTTTAGTACATTAATTACAAAATTAGTGTGTGAAAATAGAGCACTTTTAGTACAGTACTAAAAAAGTATAATTATTGTACTTAAAGTGTATTTTAGCACACTGCTTTCACATTTTGTATATTCTTTTAATATATTACTATTATGCTTTAAGCTATTCTTAAATATATTTATAAATGTTTAAAATTAGGGTTCAAGTGTATTTCTAGTTGTAACTAATTTTTTTTTTTTAAATACAGATATAGTATGTTAAAAGCACATTTAGTTCAATGTCAGGTTGTCTCAAAATAGCACAGTTGAGTACACTTAGATGGTAGTAAGTTTATCTTAACATATACTTAATACTATCTTTTAGTACATTAAGTACAAAATTAGTGTGCGAAAATAGAGCACTTTTAGCACATTTCTGAAAAGTGTACTAAGTATACTTAAATAAAGTGCATTTTAGTGCACTTTTTTTTTACCTGGAATATATAGATATATAGATATCTAAACTCTTTTTTTAATTACTGATTTTACTTAATGTAAAGTTGGGAGTTTTAACACCAACCATCATCTGTGACTGCATCTGTGAACAAACTGCAACATTAAAAGCATGCAAAATAAGTAAAAATTAAAAAAATAAGTAAATTACACACACACACACTTCACAAATACTCGTATATTAATGGAGAACAAGATAATATTTTCCTCAGTGAATAAAAAACTGCGGCATTTCAAGATGTGAAAATTATTATGGAAACAAATATATTTGTAAGCAGGTTCTACACTGTAGAATAATGACTGATTTGTTTCATATGTACAAACATCGTTATGTAATATGATTTTTCACCCAAATATTTACTCAAAGGTACTAAACAACTCTCAATCGCTGACAGGAATCTGAATCGGAAGAAAGATTATACTTTGCAAATTCCATTCCAATATCTGTTTGAGGCATAAAGTAACGAAAGCTCAATCTATATTCGACAATTCTGAGCTGTAGAAAGCACAAATCGATGCTACTAAATGGATGACTTATTACAGGGCGTCTACTGGACGGGATTACTTTAGCGAAAGAGTGAGCTGTCACTTATGAGTGACACGAGCTCTCTTCAAGAAGAAAATTGTTCCGAAAAATTACAAAGCATCGTTCTCAAAAATTAATCTCGTGTACTAAATTCATCTCAATCCATGCGTTAAATGGCCTTGAAACAAAGATCCACGGCAAGCCTATACAGTAAGTCTACACAGCCGTTATTATTGTATTTTTACAAAGTAAATTTAAACTGCTCGCTTAAGCAGGAATAAAAACTTCCCTATAAAGACTTACCGAGGGGCGCAGGAACTAGGTGGAAGACTGTGGTGAGACAAAGATTGCTATTTTCCGTGCTATTTTTCCGGTAGGAGTGAGGTGTGTGGCGTCTGTTCGCTCTCCTGCACTAAATCTTGATGAAGCGCTGGTTTTATAGTAAAGGAAAGCCACTCCCATTGGCAGCTTTTTACAGTGCATTCATTCCATAGGAAGAAGTTTCACAGCTCTCAACATATTTATATACATCATGTATATAATGCATGTTTGATTAATGATTGAATAAAGTTTATATTTTAGTTAAGTGAATTTTTTGTGTTTGATTTTGCTTTGGTAAACCTGTTAAAATTATATTTAACTATAAGTATTATGGTAAAAGTACTAATTACTAAAGTACTTTTTATACTAAAAGTTAAATAAAACTTATATTGGAAGCGTCAACACATCTAAACTTAATAGGGTAACATTTCTGAGTATTATACAGCGTATTACTTGATGAAAGCATACTTAGGCTTGTTATTGGGGTTTTAGGGATGGAAAAAAACTTTAGCGGAATCTTTTCTAAAGTTACCACCATCACAAGCAAGCACACATTTTGTTCATTATCACAAGCTTTTAGCGACATAATTTTATTTTATTTTATTTTATTTATTTTAGTTTCTTATTGGAAATACAAAATCCAAATACAACAAAATAGCATTCATCCTAACAAATTGTGTATCACACATAAAGCTCAACACAAAAAAATTACAAAAAAGTAAATTACAAAAATCATCCAATGTAAAATCAAATTAAAAGTGAAAAAAAAACATAAAACAGAAATCAATATAAAACATTTATCGGCTATGGCAAGATGATACAAATACATGTAATATTTTTAATGAACTTTTTCTTATCATTTTAGCCAGGTTATCCGGAAAAATTTTAAGTTCTTTTATAAAGACATTGTGTAGTGGAGGGATTTTGAAATATCTGCATTTATGAATAAAATATTTGTCTAATACAGTGATAATATTTATAAAATCGTGCAAAACAGAACAATATTTAGTAATTCCATATAGTACATCGTGTAATGTGAAAGTCAAACCTTTAGCATCCACATTCTTTATTATCAACCAGTCTTACACTTTTTCCTAAAACGATTGAACGGAGCTACAACTACAAAATATGTGTTCTGTGTCTTCAATTAAGTGTTTACACAAATGATACATTTTCAAAATTACATTTCAAGTGTAAAACCCATTAGAAGGCTATATTCAATTTAATATTTTAAATTGTACTTTTTGCCTTGGGGAGAATTGGAAATTTAAGATATGTCGTTCTGAAATGTTTAACAGTATTTTTATCCAATGAATTAAATAATTTATTTTGTAATACTTGATGGGGGTGGGGGGTTCAAGATTGGATAATAATTCGTCTTAAATGTTTATTATTGCAAGGTTTGTTATCAACTTCAATCCAATATACAATAAGGGAAGTATTGGAATAATTTTCAAATAAGATAGGAAACCTTTCATTAACATTTTTATACCTGAGGGTATTGCATTAATAAAAGTGAAAAACTGCTTTGGGTGACAAGCAATGGTGACAAGTCGTGTCTTAAAGTGAAAGTATTATCACTAGAAAATTGCCACTGCCATATATTATGCCTGTTACTGACCAAATATTTTTATTAAAACATTCCTACTAAAAATGGATTTGTTCCCATGTAGAATATACTTGTTTTTGCATATAGGGGTATTTTGGGGTGTAAAAATGTGTGTGCGCTTGTTTCCAAAACAAGACTTGTTGGTGGAATGCTGAAAGCTTCACTGGGAGTTTGGGAAAGTCAAAATCACATCTGAGAAAAATTCGGATGCTTCCCAGTTTGTTAAGGCAAGATAAACTGTAACGTTACCAGAAACTCTTCTCAGTTATGCGACATAACCTTACGCTGTTCCTTTAAAACCCTTACATCATTTTCCTGAGACTGTGTCGCGAGCGGGTCGCGAGATGTTGACGTTTTCTACGAGTGTAGATTGGTAAATACCAAGTGGAGCGATCACTTGTGATAGAGTCAATCAACATGATGTGAAGATCGGCTCTGTGGCTGCTTCTGTGTGTACACGAGGGGGTTTTTCAGCAAACTAGCTGCACACACGTGCTACGTCGTTCTGCTCCTTCACAAACAAAACAGTCTTACTAAAGTAACTTAACGGTGAGTTTTTTCAGTCTTTAAATATGCTCAATGGTGTATGTATCGTTCAGAAATGTCATGTGCTCCTTTGTGAGTTAACGAGCAGGCGCAGGTTACTTCAAAATATCTTTATTGTAACTCGAATTACGTTAACGTTAGCTGTCAAGTGTGAAAGAAGTTTTTTGAAACTTGTTTTCATTTTTAGTGTAACCGTTATATAAAAATGCTCTTTATAAAGTATTGAAGATAGGTTTGTAAGTTAATGAAAACAACTGAAGTCGTGGTAAGTTAATTGAAGACGCGGTTTAAGTTAACGTTGGGTTAGTGTTTCTGTTGTTGGTCTGTCAATGACAGTGACCTTGCTGACTCATAGAAAATAGAAATGCCAACAGGTAAGATTAAAAGTGTGATTTAAAGATTAACTTACATATGGCCCATTTTTGCTCGTCTGTACGGTTTTAGGAGTGGGGTTTCACAGGCGCTGCTGCTAATGTTCAGTCTGTCTCGACAGTTGGGTACTAACGGCAATTAACGGCTTAGAGCTGTTTAAATCAAAATGCACTGTTTTGATTTTTAGTATGACGTGTAACATTATGTATACATACAAGCGCACATGCAAACAAGCATACAAATATTGGCTTATAGTTTCTGTTTATATACATTTATAATTGTAAAATATCTAAAATCTTATATTGTAAATTTTTAAGTTTCTCTAACTGAAATACTTAACATTTATTTTAGGCATGATCTATGTTCTTGCTTTACTAATTACAATTAAGTATGTGTTATTACCAACCAAAGTGGGTTATTCACACGGAACAATTAAAACAACAAGGCATTTGGGATTTTTAAATATACAACCTATTGATTTAGTCGTATAAAAATTAAAGGAAATACTGTTATATATGAAGCACAATGTGTATTTCAACATGAGAATAGTGTTTTTTAGTTTGCTGCATTTTATACTAAAATTCTCATCACATAGATGTGTCTGTTATATTGTAATTTAAACATATTAACATGCATTAGCTAGTATAAACATTAAAAGGTGTGAATAAGTATTTTTATTTCTCTAATAATTTGATTATCTTGCGGTGCTAGACATGCCTGTTATAGATAATTTTGTTCTCTATGATTTGTGAATTCAGATGATCACAAGTTTTATTTTATGTTTGTGAGTTTCTTCACAGCAAACCATAAACCCCTTGTTAAGTCCGATGTAAAGAAATGAGTTAGGCGTTCGTCATGTTTACAACCTATTACCTTAAATTCATGCTTTTAGAACACAAAAATTCTTATTTTAGTTTGAGTTTAATTTGCTTAATGAGCTTAAACACATCAATTTCTTTTGAGCATGTGAACGCAATGACCAGTCATAAGGGTATAAGAACTTGCTCGACAATGCTCAAAGGAAGCAGTATTACTATTTACATTAGTTTAATTGCTGTAAATGTTTATGGTGTCTTCTGGCATGTGGTTGTATTTTGTTTAAAACAATCAAAAAGAGCAGTTAAAATTAACGGTACGGTTCATATATCGGACTGCTTGTATTAATGGACAAAATTGTACTGCAAATAATATATAAAATTATTTATATATTTTAATTCAAGAATTCTTGTGCTGTGAAGAAAAAAATATAACTGTGCATGGAAAGCGTCATCAATGCACCGAGATATCGAATTGATGGCATAATAATCATAACTGAAACAAACCAGTGGGGCCAGTGTAGGTTCACCCGTTACCAGTCCATGAATTCTTTTGATTTTTTTCAGTCCACAGTGAATGTTACAATTTACCACTTCAGTTGAGTAATTCACTACTTTAGTCTGTGTGAGAGTGTATGTGACATGAATCTTATTGATTTTTATTAATGTTTATAGCTATTGTCAGGTCGGATGTGTTTCAAGTGTCAAGTTAATCCTATTAGGGTGGGCATAAGGGTTATGATTAGTATAATTCAAAGGCTAGTTTTAAGGTAAGGGCAACCAAAATTCAAGTTGACAGTCTAAAAACAAGAAAACAAATAAACGAACAATCAATAATACCAAATGATGATGTTAAAGGGTAAATTATCTAATATTTATGATGGGTGTGATGTCTCAAGACAGTGTCTCACAAATATATCTTCTACTAAGTGGGTGATGGAATGGGCCATAATCATGCCCACCCCCAAAAAAGGCGGCTGATCAATGTTGTAAAAGTTGTAAAAAATTGTTAAGGTAATAAATTTAACTTTAGGATTCCTGCATATACACTGTAGTGGGTTAATTCATTCACAGAACATAGAAAAAAATAAGTGCACTTTTAAAACACCCAGATGTTAACTTATTTAACCAAAGAAATCAGTTGTATAATATTAGACACTAAATGCACTCAGCTGTCACGACTTTAATAACATGATGACAAAATAACTTTATAAAGTTGAGTATGTTGTTTGTAAGCATAGTGTATATGTGTATCTTGCATCAGACTTTTTACTAAAATTAACTAAATATTCATATTAAAATTTGTTTGTGTTGTAATATGAGTAAAATGATTTGTCCACTAACTTAAATATGCAATTTTTCCCCTTTCAATGCAGTTTAATCATCTAAGGATCATCAATTGTCACTAAAGCTGTACCTCATGAGTTTTGTGGAGTACTCTGAGCTTATCCAAGAAGGGGATGTTGTCATTATCTTCATGGGGCATGATTCCATGATGCCAATAAAAGTTCAGTCAGGAGCTCAGACTCAAACTCGCTACGGGGTCATCAGGCACTCCAGCGACCTGATTGGACAGCGGTTTGGATCCAAAGTAACTTGTAGTAAGGGTGGTTGGGTTTATGTGTTGCACCCTACACCAGAGCTGTGGACTATCAACCTTCCCCACCGAACGCAGATCCTCTACACGACAGACATTGCCAATATCACACTGATGCTGGAGCTCAAACCAGGCTCTGTTGTGTGCGAGTCAGGTAAGATGATGTGCTGTGTTCCTGCTGGTCTTTAGTGGCCCATTTTCACTGAGTTGTACGGTACGGCTCGGTATGCTTTTATGGCCGTTTCCCCTGTCAAAAGGAAAAGTGAACTGTTTCGTACCACTTGTTCGGTACCATTTGCAAAGGGTATCTAGCACAACAAAAGGGTGCCAAAAGACAGAACTAGACTCGCAACTGAACGCTATTGGTTTACAGAGATACGTCACTCATTCGTGCAACAAGCCAGAATTAAAACAAAGGAACCGCCATGTTTTAAATACACAGCTGAGACATTACACCATAATAATATATACATAAAATTATGAGAATCTGCCCTGTAGTTTATTTACCCGGCCGTCTAAAGAGTGAGCAGTTTCGATTGCTCGCTTGCACTCGCCATGCGTCTATATTTGAAAAAACAAACTTATTAAACTGATAATAATAAAGTACATGTGATTATTAAAGTGCTTCCGACATCCGATCCTATTAGAAAAGAACAAACCCAAGACTGACGCGTGAAATAATAAAGGAAAAGCCGGAAAAAACAAAGGAGCAAAGGATTCTTTCAGCAGCCTAAAAGATGAACAAACTGCCATGTTTAACTATTATCATCACCCTTTGAACTATTATGAACTCGGAATGACAGAATTACTCTCTAACAGTGGTTACATGTGCTAGTAAAGATTAAAAATACAGATGAGAGGTTTGCCCTTGCTGGGCTATATGTTGTGTGGACTAAATGTATGCTGTGTAAAGTTTTGTTGTAATTGGTAAAATATCGGAGACTTTAAGGGTCTGTATGTGTTCACATATGTTGCATTTATTTATTTGTTTATTTATTTTATGTTATCGCATACCGTACTGTACTGTACCACTTAGTTTAAAACGGGCCAATCAGCTCCCTTGTCACTCAGGCCACTAATCAGTGAGTCAGCAATTTTAAGGTGTACATTAATCAAAGCATTCTTCAAGTGAACTGAACAATCTCACAATGCAATGAAAAAAAAGGGAGCATCGATGCACACTAAAGCCTGGTTAATACTTCTGCGTCAAGTGACCGGCGTAACTCACGGCTCAGGCAACCTGCGCAGCTGTGCATTTATACTTCTGCGCGCTGTCTCTTTTGGTCTCCATTAACACTTCCGAAACGCTAGTTAGCAGTGAGGTGTAAATGTTCCTCTATGTCGAGTTTCTTCGCTTCTGTTTTGCTTTTCCTGAACACTTCCTGGTTGTACAAGTGGCTCAAACTCGCTCATTTTGAGGCAGGAACCGGCGGATGTGCAACAACTTTACCTATGAAGTAAACACAAAACAAAACTTTCCATCAGGAGCTCCTTCACGGGACTCCACACTTGTAAACAATCACTCCATTGGGCTCGCGTCCAGCTCGCGCCATTTGCGCGGCTCTCGGTCCCGCCCATACTTATTAGCGCTACCAAACCGACCAATCACAGAGCTTGCGCTATGCGTCGTTGCGACATGTAGTTACAATTTTTGAGAGGTGCACGTCAGCAACGCCGACGGCCACGGTGAAGGGCTATGCGTCAGCGCCGTAGCATACGCCGGTGTTTGACGCAGAAGTATAAATCAGCCTTAAGGCCCAATCCCAATTCTGTTTTTGTACCCGTACCCCTACCCCCTGGGCCCTTAAAACCGAGTGTGAAGGGGAAGGGTTTTTTAACCTTTACCCCTAAGAAATGGGAAAGCACAACAGCACCTTCACAAGTCATCATATGTCATCGCAATCTCATGCTTCATATGAAATCAGACGATCGCGGCTGCTATTCCAGTTTCTTTATTTTTTTGTATTTATCTTCAAGAAATTACTGAATTCATATATTATATTATCATAACGATCTAATGTGGCAATAAGATTGTAACTATGCTGTGCATATACACTGTGGCCATATTCATCTATAAACACAAAAAACAACATTAACATTACAGCAGACACTGTAAAAAGGCTATTCTTAGCCACTAAACTTTTCTGACAGAGTATGCGAGTGTCATTGAGTGTCAGAATGTTGTGGGACTGCTATACAGGAGTTATTACCATGGATTATAGATATTGAAATTTAGCATTTTTTATTTTAGCGTTTTTTTTAAAGCATGATGATAAAACACAAACGTGGTTATGAATATATTAAAACTTGTGCTTGGTTGTTGTAAAAATTTATAATAATGACAAAAAAAAATACTAATTTGTGGATCTTCTTAACTCCGGGTGGAGCTATGCTGCCATTGTGGCTGGTGTACTCTGGGAAATTTTTTGATTGTAGTCCTGAAAAATCTCCATTCGAAGGGCTAACTACCCCTTCCCCTTAGCCCTACACCTTCAAGCTAAAGAGAATTGCGACACCCCTACCCCTTTAAGGGAACGCACAAAACGACAGGTAGGGGTTAGGGGAAGGGCTAAAGGGATAGAATTGGGATTGGGCCTAAGTTCTGAAGCATGCCACGAAACATGAATCAGATGATGTAATTGATCAATGATTGAATTGTTGCTACTATATGAAACAAAGGACTGAAGTCTGCTGACTGTGGAGGTCATTTGAGTACATTAAAGTCATGGGGCAGCAACAATACTCAGGTAGGCTGTGACATTGATACGATGCTCACTTGATACTAAGTATGCCAAGGAAATATCCCCCACACCATTAGAACCACAACCAGCCTCAACCATTGATAAAAGACAGGATGGATCCATGTCTTTATGTTGTTGATGCCAAATTCTGACCCTACCATCTGAATGTCGAATGCAGAAATCGAGACTCATCAGATCAGGCAATGTTTTTACAATCTTCTATTCTCCAATTTTGGTGAGCCTGTGCGAATTTTAGCCTCAGTTTCCTGTTCTTAGCTGACAGTAGTTGCACCCAGTCTGGTCTGCTGCTGTAGCCCATCCACCTCAAAGTTCAACGTGTTGTGAATTCAGAAGTGTTCTTCTGCATACCTCAGTTGTAACAAGTGGTTATGTGAGTAACTGTTGCCTTTCTATGAGCTCAAACCAGTCTAGACATTCTCCTCTGACCTCTGGCTTCAACAAGGCATTTGCATCCACAGAACTGCTGCTTACGGGATATTTTCTTTTTTTAGGTCATCCTCTGTAAACCCTAGAGATGGTTCTGCATGAAATACCCCGTAGAAATATTTAGACCAGCCCGTCTGGCACCAATACACATGCAACGTTCAAAGTCACTTAAAGGTGCAGTAGGTGATTGCTTCAGAATCGTTTTTTGTTGTGCTGGTTGAAAGTCTCTTCACAGTCTAATAGTAATGATTCAAGTAAATGATCTAAATGTATTTATATGTATTTTTATATTTTGGGTAAGGCATAAAACAAAAAAAATGCTCATCCAATTAAATAGAGTCGGACCGACATCTCTCATAATTCCGATAAGTAGGCGAAACTGTCTGTCAGCAAATGCAGATTTGAACAACTGCGCAGCCGTTTGTATGCATCTCCGCAGACCGCTGTTGGTGCCGTGCATTCACGAGAGAGGGCGCGCGCATGATCGGTGAAAACCTGCTTGATCAAAACTTTTTAAAACCTGAATCAGTATTGGAGTTACCTTTGCACGCTGGAGAAAGGATGAAACAATGGCTGAAGGATATCTCATAAACAGGTAATGTTCTGTTTTAAAACTATTTTAACTTCATGCAAAACTGAAGTAACGTTAGATGTTGTTACAAACGGGTTATATCTTTACAGAAGTGTTGTTCAGCCACTAAAATCTTCCGATAAAAGATTAATAAGACTATTTTCAGTTTCATAAGGGACCTTTTACAGCATCTATAATGTAGATTTTTAGTTAGTTTAACAACAACACACAAGTAAATAGCGATATTCCGCCTAGTTTCCCTATGTTGTTTACCATGAAACTCGAAGGCCATACTCACACTAGGTACAGTTGCCTCGAACCGGGCCAAAGCATGCTTGTCCCCCCTCCCGTCTCCCCTGACGGCCCGCACTCACACCACAATCGGGCCTCGGCATGCTTACGTCATCACTGCTGTGCTGTTCAGTGAGAAGCGCTCTCACTCAGCAGCACAGTGGAGATTTCTCTAGTTATATTGTGTCAGTCGTTTGATATGCAGTGGCATGCAGTCAAATATTTCGCCAAACAGTCCTAAGGGTTGCTGTGACACGCAGTCAGATATTTCGCCGAACAGATCCGCCCCTTTTGGCGCTCATAATCATAATGCTCTCGTGCTGCAAGAATGAGGAGGTCTGCTGAAGGTGCGCAGCTGTCGTGCAGTGAGAGTGTTTGCGTCTTTAATAAACTACGGCAGTTTGCGTTCACTGAACAGTATGAATGATTAATAAATCCAAATGAAACAGTCCCTTAAAAGTAACGTCTCGCTTTCAGTTTCGGGCTTTGGCGCGTTTTACACTCACAAAGCCCAAGTAAACTGCGTTCAGGCCCATCTCTTTCAACCGGGCCAGGGCCGGCAAAGTGAACCGTGTTTGAGCCCGATTCAGCGCACTCACACTTCTCAAACGATCCGGGAAACGGGCCTGGGCACAGTTCAGATGGCATAGTGTGAGTAGGCCCTAAATCTTCACTCTGAAATAGCATGACAGTTTCGCTTGCTTGCCGCCGAACAAGCACTAGCCGCTTTTAACACATGAGAGAGAGTTCTTTTGCTGTGCTTGTATTTAAGGAGATGTGGCTCTAGACGGCAGGAGAGGGACTGTGATTCAGAGATTTATGGTAAGCTGTTAGCATTGTGAAAGTTCACCTACTGCACCTTTAAATCACCTACCCCATTCTGATGCTCGGTTTGAACTGCATGACCATGGCTACATGCCTAAATGCTGCCATGTGATTAGAAATTTGCGTTAACAAGCAGCTATACAGGTGTACCTAATAAAGAGACCGTGAGTGTAGATAGTGTATAGCCTGTGGTGCAAACAAAAATTTTCATAATAAATTGAGACATCTCACGATTTCTCTGCTTTTTTTCACTCATGCATTCCTTTCCAAAGCATGTTATGGTATTTCAAACTCATATTATATAATTGTGAGCAGAAGTCAAAATCTTTTGTTTAGATGTCTGTATGTTTGTTAGTTTTATTTCTGTTTTGAAGACATAGATGTGTGTCAGCCTGTTCGTGTGGGCGAGGAATGCCTGGCAAATAAAATGAAGCAACATTAATTTTGCATTACAGCAGTAATAACTTGTTAATATTACCAAAGAATTTCAAAATAATAATAATAATATTTCACTCTTCATCTTGGACAGACTGTTGTGCATACATTTAGTTTATTATAGCTTTTAAATCTTTGAAAAAATTTGTCCACTTTTTTTCTTGTTGGAAAAAAATGTGTATTTTTACAACTAGAGCTTACTTGTTTTGACAAAATATTTCGCTAAGAAATATAAAATATGTATATGTTTTATTAAAACTTTATTATTGTATTATTAAATGTATAAAATTATTATATGTATAGGTACTACAAGTATACTTATATATAAGTATATAAGAAAAAAAAAACATTAGCGCTTAGCCCTGTATTAGTCTAAAATATAATGATAAAATATAATGTAATGATCTCATAAAGTCTTTATTAAACCTGGTGAAACGTGCAGAATCCCTGTACACACATTTTATTTTAACATATAGTTTTTTTTGTTTGTTTGTTTTCCTGGTCTGTCACTTTTGACCGGAGTACAAGTGTGACTTTATGCCCTTTACCTGCTTGATTCTTGCCCCCATTTTTTATGAATACATTGTAAAAACAAAAAAAAAGTTTGTACTATTCAGATGAAGCAGTGATTTTTTTTATTTATTTTTTTTTAGGGATGCACGATATATTGGTGGCCATATCGTTATCGGCCGATAAATGCTATTTTTAAGATTATCGTTATCGATCCGATGTCTAAATTAGGCCGATATCTTTAAGCCGATGAATTACGTAATTGTACAGACCTGGGCGGAACTTGTTCAGACTTGCCCAGTGCACTGTAATAAATCTCTCCCACACTGTTTATTTCTTCAAAGTCAGAAGTAAGTAACCATGTTCCTTATCATTGTAGATGTGTTTGATTGAGTGTCATTGTGTATTTTGCTTTAAATCGCCTCAGGAAAAATATTACATGTGTAAACCTTTCCTGCTCCGTCTCTTTGTTGTGTAGAGATAGCAGGGGATCTTAACTTATTACTCCAGGGCCGAATAATATTAGTTTTGTGGTGAATTACCTTTTCTTTTAGTTGCAGCCGGTGAATGAACAAGGACACATGTAACTTGGGCCCAAAATATTTATTACTTTCCGTGTGGTACAACAAATCAGTCACCTAAAATAGTCTTATTGCCCAAAAACTGCTCCTCTCTCTCTCTCCCTCTTCGCTTCACACACACACCCCCCAAACTGCAGCTGGACTGGACCCGCACATTTTACAACAAGTAAAAACATAACGGTTGTTTGTAATCTGATTATTTGCTATTATCAACGCGTTGCTTGTCATGTGTTGTTGATGTAAGATGTATTCAGTTTGATCGGAATATTCATATTGATTTTAACGAGCGTGCAAGCTGTCACCGTAGCACGGGGGAGAGGTGAATCCAGTCATAGAGACTCTTGACCTGCCGCTCATTCTGTCTTTATATTCAGCTGTGTTTGCCATAAAGTCAGCTCAATGCAGGTTTTTTATGAAAATCTGACTCTGATGGCAACTCTGCCTCTACAGTTAAGTGAAACTCAGCGGTTTATCATAAACTTTTCATCGATCATTTTCCCCGCAATTGACAGCAAGAACGAGCGCAGAAGTGTTGTTTGATTGACAAGCAGCTCCTACATTTTCAAAAGAATCTTAAACGCCAAATAGGATGAATCTGTTCCACATTTTCTAAGCGTACTATATATATTTAGCTGTTCGCTTGTACGGTGGCTCTGAACTGTCAAAACGCCTCTAAAAAAGGCTTTTTCGGGCATGACGTATTTGTACATGTGTACATCACTGTAACCCGTTTTATTCAATACTATTTGAGCTGGTTTCAATCCTTATTGCTTTCATTTTCATCTTATTCAAATATATTTAACTCGCTTGTTGATTAAATCCCATTTTGTTATTTAACCTTATTAATTTTATGCAACAGTCAAGTTGCATGTTAATTTGCTATGAAGAAAAGAAAGTAATGTATTTTTTGCATGCTGATTTATGTGAAATTGTGAATATCGGTCTATAATCACCTTGCAATTTTGAAGTTAAAGCTTTTTTGCTTTGAGTATAGACTATTTAGTTCAATCTTTTATGAAGTTTGCTGTATAAAAATATGTCATTTTGAAATATTTATAAATATCGGCCTATACATATCGGCTATCGGCCTCCAAGTCTAAAGAATTATCGGTATCGGCCAAAAAATCCATATCGGTGCATCCCTAGATTTTTAAATTTTTTTATTTAAAAACCTACATTTTTTTGGTCAGAAGTGATCAAGGAGACTCAAAGGGTTAAAGAGTTTAAGACCGAGTGTAAAAATACTTGCATTTTATGCATGTATACATTTATTTAAAGAAATTGGTTGTTTTGCTATTAGATGTGCCATTATTTACTCATGTGCAAAATATGCTTGTTATTACAGAGTCATTTAAGGTTGTGGGGGGAAAAAACATTTACTAGTTAACAAGTTGCTTGGCAACTGCCTGTTTGTTTATGTCAATTCAGGAATGCATAAACCTTAATTCATAGTACCTCAATGATAGCTAACGTAATATTTGTATTATTTGACATTTGAGTGTTTGTGTAAACTTAGACAATATTTTTCCAGTAGTGGGCTTGTTATAACAGCATATTTTGAATCTGTATTCCAGGTACAGGCAGCGGCTCTTTGTCTCACTCCATTTTGCGGACCATCGCTCCTACCGGCCACCTGCACACTGTGGAGTTCCACAGTCAGCGAGCCGAGAAGGCTATGCAGGAATTCAAGGAGCACAAAGTGTCTCATCTGGTTACTGTCAGAAACCAGGATGTGTGCAAGGATGGCTTTGGCATCACGGGTGTAGCTGACGCTGTCTTTTTAGACATTCCCTCTCCGTGGGAGGCAATCTCACATGCCAAGAAGGCCTTAAAATACAAGGGTAAGAGCACATAACTAAAGTCACATTACCATAACAATACTATGTCATGTGATACATCAAGTCTTTATGTTCACGGATGAAGCAACTTAAATAAGTCTTCTTAAAACAAGATTTAAATACTACTTAATGCCACAGTGAACTTTATGATCACAAACAGCATAGGTACAATAATGGTGCTTTTTTCATGAGGTGATATTTTTATGTTACTAGTTGTTTCAGTGCTAGTTAGATCTTATTGCAGTTTTGAAAAAATTACTCAAGTTACTGGAAAATGGAGAAAAGGAGGGCTTGACAGTTTTGCACAGATCGAGTAAAAATATCTCTTACTTTCCTAAAATGCTGCATTTCACCATTATACAGAACAAAATAAGTGTATTTTATAAGCATTTCGTACTTTCACCATGCATTATACAAATGCACACATTTGTGGTTTTAATTCAACTCATAAATACATACACAGCAATTTCAACATTGTTTGAGTCTTATGCTGAACAGAACTTCCATTTTTGTTGCTCATAAATTTTCATAAATGTCATCATGCTGCATGTATTAGAAGGTTTGCTGAATGTGGCAGCTGAAGTGCAGCGAGGGGTGTTTTGTGTTCATTGAAAAGTGAGATTGAGTGATAAATCCATATCAAACAGTACCTTAAATGTGACATTGCGTCCTCTCAGTTTCATGCTAGGGTCTGCTTTGCACTCACACTACAAGCATACTGCACCCCAGCCTAAGCAAACCCCTTTCTAACACACCTTTTCCAACTGGGCCAGGGCCAGTACTGTACTGTGTAAAAGTCCTAAGCACTGTACCATATACCAGCTTTGTTGGCATTTTGCGCAATAAAAATCAATCACTCTCTTTATTAAAAACATACAGAATATATAGGAAATATGTAAAAAAAATAAAATAAAATAAACACAACAACAGCTCAACATATTCTCTTCAAGTAAAAGTCTGTGTTTAATGTAACTTCTCTGTGTAATATCAGGCATCTTTTAGCACTTTCCAGAGCTCTTTCAGTTTAGAGCGTCAAATCTTTCTTTTTCTGTCCAGGTGATCTCTTACAGCCTCTATAATATTCAGGTCTGGACCCTGTGGAGGCCTTTTTATCACTGTTTTTCATTAAGGTTTTTTTTTCCCAAAATATGATTTCACTGCAATTAGTGGATCACTAAAATTAGTCCATTGCAGAAGGAATGGCATAATGTATTAAAATCTGTACATTTCAACATTCTTCACTCCATCAATTCAGGTAATTTGCTAACAACACTGGTAGAAATGCAGCTCAAACCAGGACAAATAACCTCGCTCCAACATTGACTTTCACATGTCTAAAAACAATTAAACCAAGATAATTCAAACTCTAACCATACCTAACTTCTATGCTAACAAACCATACATCAACTGAAAGATAATTCAATTCCCCTGTATAAATCTCAATTGTAAAAAAATTGACACTTATGACCAGGGCTTAAATCTGGAAGAAAAAAAAATATTTGGCTTACTCCTAGCAGAATTGATTTATATATTTAGGTTTCTGTTATTGCGTTCCTTATTAAACAATGCATTCCAAAAATGATTTTCTAGAAAAAAATATACCGGTTAATAACGTCATTTTATTGCACAATGCAAACATATATAGATTAATTGATTTATTGCGTGTGCTTTTTAATAACATATTTGATATTGTGTTTACATATGATTAAACTAGGGGCTGCTAGCAATTACTTAATGATTGATTTAATTGTCGTAAGCCTTTTAATCGATAGACCTTTTCAAACACCAATTAACATGGATATTTAAAGGATAAGTGTGTGTGTGATAAAGTGTGTGCAGTTCACATTACCTTATGGATTCACTATCCTGACATTGCATATAGGGGGACACATAAAACCCTGTTATTTGTGTATCTCGGTTATATCCGAAGTGCTGCTGTTAATCCGCGGGTCAGGAAATCAAGGAATAGGCTGCATATTATTTAATTATGGGCTGCATATTGTTTAATTAGGGTTTAATAACTTAAACCTAAACATAACTTTGTACATGAAATAGAGCTTCGGACCGTGTTGTAACGCAACACATTATGGGTGTTTAGGTCAAGGAAGCCTGATTTCCATTGAACTATATTTATTTATTTTTTTCTATCATTTATACACTTACCAGCAAAAAAAACGTAAGCACTCGTACTACAGATAATAAAGAAAATCATATATGTTTCCTTTGTTTATTTGATCCAGCTTTTCTGTGTCTGTTCTCCATTTAATTCACCGTTCGAGACAGTGTTATGGAATGTTTATCAGCTTAAACACACAAAGAGCTTTTATAAAGGTATAAACACATTAGACCTTTTTATTCTGAGTGTTTGTGAGATGCTTATAAAAGTTCTTATTATAAAGCACCTTTTTTTTTTTTTTTTGATTTGCTTGTGTTTATAGCATTTAGGAGCATAACAAAAAAATCTGTGGACATGTAGAAAAGTACACGCAACTTCAGTTTGTGGTCAAGCAGAACATCAGTGCCTTGAGTTTAACCACACACACACACACGGCCTATTTATTTGTTTTGCCATAGGTCTGTTCTAGAGATGATTTGTTACGCCTGTACTAGGTGATTTTTATTTTAATGACATGTTACGGGCCTTTGATAAAGATCTAATTTGTTTTCTTTGGAAATATGTTTCAGATTTACACTAAAACGTCTGTGTGTCAAAATCATGATTAAAATCGAAATCACAATAATGTTTAAGAAAATTGTTGTAGGTTTCTTTGTCCATATCGCACAGCCCTAGTTCACACACAGCTTTTTGTTCCAGATGCCAGCCAATATGAGACGACAACACAGTTGGATAGCAGTAGTTTTTTTTGGCGTCAACTTGACGTGTCACAGGAATAGGGTATATGCACAGCTAGTGTTTTTTCCCATACTTATAAATTACCGGTGAAGGTTAATGTAACTATTCTCGATTTTATACGGTTACTTTTACAGTATCGACATTGTAATATAATTAAAATATTATAAGTTAAATAGACTTTAGCATTCAATTAGTTGTCCTTTTTAAATGAGATAAAAAGCATACACACATGCCCATAAAGATTAACTGGACAGAGCAGAAGCTCCATTAAATATACCTGGGTAAAATAAATGTTGGCGGTTCATTCTGCTGTAGCGACCCCAAGGGGACTAAGCCGAAAAGAAAATGAATGAAGGAAAAATAAATGTTCATTTTTGAAAGACATGGCACGGAAAAATGTAATTTAATGCATTGCTTCTTGTACTTTCTAAGATCCACCTTATATCGTATATCAATCAGGCAATAAGGATCACTGGTTTTTAAAGAAAATGGACCTTAAACACTGCATTTTTTTAATAGCATTTAGTTCACCGGAAGCACTTGACTCGAGTTACTGAAAAATCAAAAATCCTTTCGCATACTTCTGCATATACCCTATTGTTTGCCTTGTTGGACGAGTGCTGACAAGTCCGTGTCCCATGAAGGATCAGCATCCCTTGTTTATTATTGATTTCCTTGCATCAATACATTGAAAGAGAAACTGTTATGAAAATGTATTGCCTTTGGCTTTTTAGCCAGTAAAGCTTAAAACTGAGGTGTAGTTAAATAGGATGTTTATTTTCAGCAGGAAATGTGATGTAATTAATCTAAATCTTTCTAAAACAAAGCTTAATTATAATGTTTTATTTTAGTTCATTAATTTTAGATAAATAGGTGAGGTTGTGCATTTTTTTTACAGGTATTTGGCATAAAACATAATTTGAATGATGTCACGCACAGGTGATAATTTCATGTCCACCCAAATCCATTTATTTTGTCTACATGCATGTAAAGTATTCTTTGGTGGAGTGTAAAATCAAGAAAGGATCTCCTATTGGAAAACTTTTCTCGAGTCTGTCTGTCTCATGCTTGTGGAATTTCTGCAGCACTCAACATTATACCCAACCCCTTCAGGGACTCTGATATATACACATGCAAGATGTTTTTGCTAGCAGGTTGTCCATTAATGTCCATAAAAGGGCTGGCGGTGAGACTTGAGTATGGTCAATGCTTTGTGAAGACAAGATACTTATGTTGGCCTTGTTCTGTTTCTTTCCACAAACTGACTGATTTGTGCAATACTTGTCATGGAGTTTTCAGAGCAGAATGTTGCCAGGAAACCTGTTGAGACTTTTTAAAAGAAAGCATATGTCTCTGTTAATGACAGTTTAAATGAGAAGGCCTAATTTGTCAGTAGAATGGCATGATGAACTCAAATAAAAACGTTTTTCATTTGCTTACCCACTCTTTAAATCAAATTGCTCCTGCATATTTTAAAGTACGCTTATTATGGATTTGTGAAAATTACCTTTCATACAATGTGTAGCACAGCTGTAAGTCAATGAAAACATCCTGTTGAGTTTGAAATCTGAAAGTGAACTGTGTAAACAGTTATTCATTTTAAAAAGTGTCATTTCAAATCAGTTACTTTTAAAAACAATCCAAGCTGTGAGAGTAAATGATTTTTTTGTAACTGCAAAAGGACAAAGATGTGAGGAGTCAAAAGTTAATCTTTACACTGATACCACAGCAGTGAAGTGTTGTTTCCATGTAATTTTAGGGTGTACTCACACTGGGCTGTCCGAACCGTGGCCGGGGTGAGTTTCCTGGTTTGTTTGATAAGTGTGAGTGCTCTGTTCAGTTGGGCGGCCTGGCCTGGTTGGAAGAGGTGTGCCAGAGCTCGGTTTGGTTGGGCTTTTCCCTCACAGTTCTCACTATGCATGCATGCATGCATGTATGTATGTGTGTATGTGTATATGGATGTGTTTATTAATGTATTCATAGTAGGGATGTAACTGTATTGTAAATACCGTCATACCGCAATGGCAATTTTTTTCAATATTACCGTAGTCGCATGACTCAGTAAAACTATAGGTCTTCTGAGAAAATTTGCTCAGGCGAATGAAGCGAACGGGAGGTAGCGGAAACTTTTCTGTTGCAGATAAAAACA